CCCCGGCCCCGGGCCCGGGCCCGCGCACGCGTGGGAAAGTTGGCCTGGAACCGGCCCGACCAGTTCCGCCCGGGCGCGCGGACCGGCCGCAGGAAGTTGCTGCTGCAAAACTTTTTTGGGGGGTGCAGCTGGGGCCCCCAGTGCGCCGGGGCCGGATGCGCGCCGCATAGCGCCTCCCGGGCCGAAAGGGGTGCCCGCAGGCAGGCGCGCAGCGGGGGCGCCCCGGCCCCGCTGCCCGGGGGCTATGGCCATGGTGGCCGGCGGCTGGGGCGGCCCCGGCGGCGGCGACACGAATGGTGTGGACAAGGCGGGAGGTTACCCGCGGGCGGCCGAGGACGATTCGGCCTCACCCCCGGGCGCCGCCAGCGACGCCGAGCCGGGCGACGAGGAGCGGCCGGGGCTGCAGGTGGACTGCGTGGTGTGCGGGGACAAGTCGAGCGGCAAGCATTACGGCGTATTCACCTGCGAGGGCTGCAAGAGCTTCTTCAAGCGGAGCATCCGCCGCAACCTCAGCTACACCTGCCGGTGAGCCCCCCATTAGCGCGGCCGCACCAGTGCGCCCGGCCCCGGCCTGGGCGGGCCTCTGACCCAATCGGTCACCTTGGGCCTGGCACTGACCTTCCTTGGGCCTCCACTCCCCGTTTGAGATAGGGTCATGGTCCCCTCTTTTCGTTTCTGGGATTGTGTATACAGTTGGCGCTGCATCGTTGCAGGTCCCCTATCAGGTGGTCCCTTGCGGCTTCCGCCCCAGTTTTTTGCTCTTCCTCCTTTCCTTTTTCCCGGGAGGGGCCGTCTCCGTACGGGGTCGGGGGCTGGGAGGGTTAGGGATGCTGTCAGGGGTGGGAGCCTAAACCCAGCGCCCCCCAAGCCATTTCTCTTGGGGAATCCCGGCGCGCGGGGGATCCCGCGGGAATCGAACGTGGAACTTAGACCGTGACGCTTGCAGCGTCCAGGGACCATTGTCTGCGCCCTCGCGGATCAATACGGCGCGCCCTTGGGGTCAAATATCACTTCCAAAGTCGCTCTGGCGGCCGAGCACAGCCACAGCGTAAGGGAGGCTGGAGTGGCGCAGAGCGGCCCCCTTTGCTTGGGGGCCCTGCTGGGGGGGTGGAACAGGGCCTGCTTCATCAGGGAGGGGTACCCCCGGGCTCACCCAGGGCATCGGGTCTCCGGAAACCACTGCTGCTGAGACAGTGGCCGGATTTGACCCCACACACCCGTAGCCAGGAGTGGGTGCAGACCTGGGGCCCCAGAAAATCCCTGAAACTTCAGCGTGGTTCTGAGACAGGGTGGGAGTGGTGTGTTTCAAGAAGGAGTCCTGGGCTGTCCCAGGTTGGAGTCCCGGTGGGAGGGTGTGGTCTGGGTTTTCAGGTTGTTGTTGGGGGCAGAAGCTCTCCTGGGAGAAGGCACTTGGCTGGGGTGTCCAGCCCAGGGTACCCTTGTGTTATCCTCATTGATGAAGGTGCCCCCCACCCCCACCCCGTGTCAGGCAGAACTGGCATGGTCTCCGAAGAGCCTCTCTGGAGAATTCCATTTCCCAGGAACGGAAAACTGAGGCTAGGGAGATCGTGGCATCTGCCCTGGGTCACTCAGTGAGGGACGTACCCTCACCTCTGCTCCTCAGTTGGGCCTTAGCAAGCGGAGCCAAGCCGTGGGGTTAGGAAGGGGACAGCTGAGTTGGGATCACGATGTCCCCAGGGAGTGCTGCTGGTGGAGGGCTTGTTGGCAGAGGCCACTGGTCGGAGCTAGGCTGGGGCACCCAAGGTTGGAGTTTGGCCTCAGGTCCGAGGTCAGGGCTTGCCTAGGGCTGGTAGGGGGCAGAGGGAGCTGGTCCCTCCTCCTGCGCTAACTGGGCCACCAGACTTTGGCCTCATTCTTGTTGCTGGAATAGCTGCCTACTCTCTGGCTGGGCCTTTGGGGAGGGCGAGGGGGTGGGGGTTCAGGCAGTTTCGGGGTCCCTGGGGATTCCCTGAGGCCAGGGCAGGGAGCACCAAGGGGGAGGGTGTTGTTTGGGGCTGGCGGGTTCTCCAACAGCTCTGTGCTGTGTGACCTGGTGAGGTCATACACTCCTTCCTGAGCTTTAGTTTGAGTCAGGACCCCAGGGAGACCCCAGCCCCAAGCCTGGCCCGCAGGGAACCCCCAGTCTGGGGAGGCAAAACTGGAAACACATACCCCCAGCCTGTGGGGTCAGTGGTGGGCCAGAAGGAGGGATGGATCTGGGGTCCCAGAGGGGACCAAGGGGCTCTGTGTATGGTCAGGGAGGGCCTCGTGGAGGAGCGGCATGGGAGAATTAGAGCCCAGCGGGCCTGAAATGCCAGGCTGAGGGTGATGGGGGGCCATGGAGGTTGTGTGAGCAGGAGAGGGCCATGGTCAGAATCTGTGGGTAGGAGGAGCCCAGGGAGGAGGCAGGGTTGGGCTCCAGGGTAGGGCAAAGTATGCGTTCTTCAGGTGGGATAACAGGCAGAACTTAAAGTATTTCTCCATCTCGGGAACCCAGCCTGGGTTGGACAGGAAATCTGTCCCAATTCCATAGTTGGAGGAATTGAGGCAGAAGGTGGCAGGGCCTCTCCTGAGGTCAGGGCGCCCTGAGCAGGGCCCCCACCTGCTCTCCTGCCCAGGCCTGGCCGTTTCCACCCGGCTGCCCCGGGCCCTCCCACCACCCGCTGGGCTTTGTTCTGGTTCTGCCTGAGCTGCCTCTGCCCTAGCAGGGCCTCTTCCCAGGACTCAGTTGGGCGGGTGGGGAGCACTGCAGAGCCCCCCCCCCGCCGCCCCCCGCCACCCCACCTCAGCTTCCCCAACCCTGCCCCTGGGACTCCTGGCTAGCACCTGTGTGTTGACTCCCTACCCCAGAACCCCCCAGCCCCAGTACATCCCATATAGGGTTGGCACGTTTCCTCCCCTTTCCAAATGAGGAAACTGAGGCTGGGGGTGGGGTGGTGGGAAGAGAGTTGCCTGGGAAACGCGTTTGATTTATTCCTTTGTTGCGTGTTTGTTTTACTCCTTGACTGTATCGGGTAGCTGGTCTGTGATAGGATCCCAGGCCTCAGAGAGCCCCACCCCAGGTGGAGAGAGGCAGAGGGCAGCCCAGGGGCAGGGCCCGAGGGCAGAAGGTGCTGGGGACTGGGATGGGGATGTTTGAAGAAGGAGCACCTCACCCTTCCTGCTTGGGGCCATCCCTGGATGGGGAGCTCATTACCTCATGGGAACATCTGTTCCATCCCTAGGAGAGGCAAGAATGACCCCCAGGGACTGCCTAGAGGAAGAATCTTGGGCTTGGTCGGAGGAGGGGATGCAGGTATGGGTGTGGGGCCTTAAAGGAGAGATAGGAATTTGTTCATTCATTCATTCATGCATTGCTACCAGCCTCCTGTGGGACAATGCTGGGGCCCCATAGAGACTGGCCCTTCATCAACTCACACGGCCCAACCCCCTGACTGTGTCTGTCTCCTGTTCTCACATTGCTCTTGGGACCAAGGCCTTGTTCTTTAGCATGACAGTAACCAAATGGACTAAAACTGTTGAGGCGTCTGTACTTCTCTTTGCCAGGCTTTTGCTGTCATCGTGCCCCCTCCCGGGAATGGTCTTTCCGTTCACCTCGGGAACGTCTATTCATCCCTCAAAACCCAATTCTAATGTACCCTCCCTAGAGTGCTACTCTCCTGCTTCTCCATGGACTCTTATTTATCTATCACCACTCCACCCCAATTGTCCTTGCCTCTTTGCAGAGCTGCAGGCTGAGCCCTGGCCATCCCCCAGCCCTAGGGGCCCCCCCTGGTGTTTCTCAGGTGCTGCCTTCAAAGGCAGCTCACGGAGTGGTTCAAGGTGCCATGGTGACCCCTGACCTCCGTGCCCCCAGGTCCAACCGTGACTGCCAGATTGACCAGCACCACCGGAACCAGTGTCAGTACTGCCGCCTCAAGAAGTGCTTCCGCGTTGGCATGCGCAAAGAGGGTGAGTGCCTCTGGGTGGGTGGGGTCTGGCACTTGCTAACCTGGCTACCACCAATCCTGTGGTCCCGCTGGCTGCACTGCAGGCTGGAGGAAGCCACTTATGACCCAGGGATGCAAGGGGCCCACTTTAAGACTGTTCTCCAGCCACCTCATCTCTACTCTTTGCCAGCAGTCCCCGCACCCCACCCTGGCCTCAGTGGCAGCTTCCTCAGCTCCAGGCCCCTTGGTGACCTTCTGGTCCCCAGGCCTGGCCTCCCGTTTCTGAACAAGGACATTTTTCTTATTTGATTTGCTTTCCTTCCACTCTCCACCGCTGCTTCGTGTTTGCCCAAGGCAGGGAACTCAGCCTGATTAAGGCAAAGGGCAGTTCACCCTTCCTCCTGACCCCGGGCAGCTGGGAGGGCAGCTGGGAGGCTGAGGGAGGGGAACCCGGTGGATGTGTGATGGGCGGCTGGGCCTGGAACTCTGCCGATGACCTTAGGACCCAGAGAGTTGGACGAGAGTCCCCTGCTCGGCTTTATCAAGGGCCAGTTTGGCAGTTCTTCCCTGTGTCTAGGCTTACTCTCTCCTGCTCTGAAGTTGATTTCTTATCCGTCAGGCCTCTGTGGAAGAAGCTGGGGACAGCTGCTCAGAGTTTGTTTCTTAAAACTGTCTGTTCACCCCTCAGTTGGAAGATGATCCTCCTGTTTGCCCTCTCCTGACCCAGATTTTGCCTCCATTTGTCCATTTGACCTAAAAAACCTGAGGTGCCTTGTATCAGGGCTTCAGCTCTCTAAAGTCTCAGGGGTGGAAATAATCATGATCATAGTTTGAACCCCAAACCCGTTCCTACCTCAGGGCTTGTGCAGGGGCTGTTTGTTGCTGCTTGAAACTCTTTCCCCCAGGATACCTGCATGGCTCCTCTCCCACTTCCAAGGTTTGCTCAAATGTCACCTCCTCAGAGAAGTCCTCCTAATCCCCTGCCTTCACCAAACCAAAAGACCTTTTGCCTTCGAGTCGATTCCGACTCCTAGCAACCCTATGGGACAGAGTAGAACTGCCCCATAGGGTTTTCAAGGCTGTAATCTTTACAGAAGCCGACTGCTGCATCTTTCTCTTGCAGAGCGGCTGGGGGATTCCACTGCCGACCTTTTGGTTCACAGCTCTGTACTTAACCACTGAGCCATCGGGGCTCCTTCTGTCTTCATCATCTCTCTTTATTTCCACATGAATCAGAATCAACTTGAGGGCAACTGATTTTACCCTGCTCTATAATTAACTCCTCCACCAGAAAACCTGCTCCCTGATGGCAGGGATTTTGTCTGTCTTGTTGCCTACTGTATATTCCCAGCACCTAGACCAGAGTCTGGCACACAGTAGGTACTCAGTAAATGTTTTGTGGCCTGAGTTACCATTCACTTAGCACTTCTATGTGCCAGGTGCTGTTCTAAGAAACTTACATAGATTCTCGTTTAAGGCAGTGATTAGTATTTTATAATTACTACTATTATCATCTGCATTTTATACATGAAAATACTGAGGCACAGAGAGCAGAGTGGTGAGGCCGCTTGCCCAGGGTCAGAGAGCAAAAGAGTTGTGGCTGGGATTGAACCTGCCCGCTTTGGGCTGAATGATTAGTAGAAGGAGGTGGGGGAAGGGGTTCCAGGAGGAAGGAACAGCCAGTGCAAAGGTCCTGGGGTAGGAGCTTGCCAGGGTGAGGGAGGAACAATGAGGGCAGGGGGTGGGTTAGAATGAAGTAAGAGGGCTGGTGAAGTTCCCTTGGAGGGTCAAGGATCCGCTGAAATTTACTCTTGAGGTTTGTCCAGGTACCCTCATTGGACAGATGACTTGACTCACTTGGAAACTACTTGAAGTAGCCTCAAACCTAGGCCCCTGCTTTCTGCTGGGCTCTGTCAGCCCTCGGCTCCTGCCTGGGGTCCCCCTCCCCCATCTGCTCCATGGCATGTTGACCAGAAGTTCACAGAGGTGCTGAGACAGCTCGTGCCAGCTCATTAACGCTCATTAATTAGTCCCCACCTGGCACCCAGCCCAGTGTGCCCTTTTCCCCCTTCCTGCCCCACGTGGCTTGTTGTATGCAGCCCAGACTGGGCGGGCATGTGGCCACTTTCTCCTCTTTGTGCCTCAGTTTCCTTCTTCTTCCCCACCTGTTGTTGAGACATGGGCCCTTCTTGGGGTCCAGGCCAGCAAGTGGGGGGCAGACTGTCTCTGGCACCTCTACTTCTGGATCCCCCCCCGCCCCGCCCTGAGAAGGCTAATGATGCCAGCTAATGGCTCAGCAGCTACCAGCTCTAGGCATTGGGATCACCACAGAGATCCAGATAGACAGATCTGCCCTTGAGGGACCACAGTCTGGGGGAACGGGACATAAACAAATGGTCATGTCCATAGGAAGAGTAGCTGGTGTCCCTCCTGGCTTCATCCTCAGCTCTGGGACCCCCAATGATTGGCAGACAGGTCGGGAGTGATTGATCCTCATCACCCCTGAACAGAGTCCAGTCAGATCACCCCCACCCAGGGGTCCAATTCCTACCTGTGAAGGTGCCCCAAGTGGGATGGGGGGCTGGGGGGAGCTGGGGGCAGGAGGGCACAGAGCAGAACGGGGCGGGGGGTGGGGGGGCCTGCAGGAACTCACCCTGACCTCCCAGCATGCTGTGAGCCCAGGGGGTAGGGATGGGCAGCCTGAGAGGTTTGGAGGGGAGGCACCTAGTGACTCTCTGGTGACTTGTCTCCCCTCCCCCCCTTGTCTCTATTTCTCCTCCCTGCCCCTTCCCGTTTCTCTGTCTCTCACATTTTCTTCCCCCTTCCTCTCTCCTCCCTTCCTCCCCTTTCTCCCTGTCTTACCTCTCTCTCCCCTCCCTGGTCTCCCTACGCCCCTCATTCCCTTCTGGTTTTCCATTCCCTGCCTCCATCTCCTGTCCACCCCATCTCTTCCCACCTCCTGTCCGCTTGTCTCCCCTTCCGCATACCCTGTCCCTTCCCCATCTCTGACCTCCCCTATTTCCTGGGGGGGCATCTTCTGTCGCCCCTCCCTTCCGCTGTCCCTGCTTCCCACTCCCTCGTTTCCTTTTCCTTTCCCCCATCTGCTCCCCACTCATTCCCTTTCCATGTCCCCGGTCTCCCTCTCCCTCCCTGCTACGCAGCCGTGCAGCGAGGTCGCATCCCACATTCGCTGCCGGGCGCCGGCGCCACCTCGTCGGGCAGCCCCCCGGGCTCGGCGCTGGCAGCGGCGGCGGGCAGCGCCCTCTCCCCAGGCCAGCCAGTGTCGGAGCTGATCGCGCAGCTGCTGCGTGCTGAGCCCTACCCGGCTGCGGGCCGCTTTGGCGCGGGGGCGGCGGGCGCGTTCGGCCCGGGCGGCACAGGCGCGGTGCTGGGCATCGACAATGTGTGCGAGCTGGCGGCGCGCCTGCTCTTCAGCACCGTGGAGTGGGCGCGCCACGCTCCCTTCTTCCCTGAGCTGCCGGTGGCCGACCAAGTGGCGTTGCTGCGGCTCAGCTGGAGCGAGCTGTTTGTGCTGAACGCGGCGCAGGCGGCGCTGCCCCTGCACACGGCTCCGCTGCTGGCCGCCGCGGGGCTGCACGCCGCGCCCATGGCCGCCGAGCGCGCTGTGGCCTTCATGGACCAGGTGCGCGCCTTCCAGGAGCAGGTGGACAAGCTGGGCCGCCTGCAGGTGGACTCGGCCGAGTACGGCTGCCTCAAGGCCATCGCGCTCTTTACACCCGGTGAGAGCCTGCAGGGGGTGCAGAGGGGCGGGAGGGATTCCGGCCCCCACGGACCGCCAACCCCTGTCCCCAAAGCCAGTCACACTGGGGGCCTGCATGCCCAGTGATCGCTGATGGGGGTAGCAGGTGAAGTAATGCCTCCAAAGTGGGGCCTGGTGTAGCCCCACCCTTTCGGGCCCCACACCTGCGGCCCTGCACACAGTGAGCACTGATGGGGGGCAGTGAGGTGATGGAAGCAGGAGTGATACCTTAAGCCCCCACTGCCCGATCCCAGGACTCCCTAAGAACTCTGAGCCTAGCCCCCCAGACCTGAGGACCCAGCTGGTTCCACTGACTCTACCTAATCTCCAGCCCGCTAAGACCTTTCCATGCCCCTCCCCCCAGATCAAGGTGCTTTTGGAGGGACGCGAGGGGAGGTCCCTGACTCCTGGCTGTGACTCCCCTTGCACACCTCTCCCTCCCTCCGTCTCTGGTCTCGCTAAGCCTTTTGACCCTGGATTAAAGCCCTCTTCACACTTTGTGAGCTCTTACGAAGGGCTACCAGGCAGGGTGTGCCCCGACGCCTGGTTCTGGGCTCCCCTAAGTCTCCCTGATTCTTTGGTCCCCGGACTTATGGCCCGGGCCCCCGAACTGCCCGCCCTGGGGTGGGGCGTGGATCTGAGGTCCCTCCCACCTGGGGCGTGGCCAGATGACTGGTGTGTGGGGGGTCGGTACCTTCCCTGCCCGTTGCCTAGTAACGTTGCTGCGGCTCTTACCATCGCGTTACCGTATTCCTCCAACTGACGGTGCAGCGAGCTCTTCACTCTAGAGGCATATCTCCCCAGATTGCCCCCAGGAATACTTTCACTCTCTGGAAGGCTCCTGACCCCACCAGGTGTCTCCTTGGGGCGGGAGGCCCAGGAACCAGCCACTCTGGGAGGTGGCTTTCACTTGATAAACATAGCTTTCATCAATATAAATAGTAAATAATGCCCCATGCTTCTCCCCGTGGTCTGGGCTCTGTCTCCCAAAATCTCCTCAGCCCCACCTTCCCCTCGAGCTTCCTTAGAACCTGTCCCCCTGCAAAGGGGGGGGCGTCCACCATCAAGAGATCACTGCCTGCACCTCTGTCCTCACCCTCAAAAATCGACACTGCCTTAGAAACTCCAATTTGTGCTCCAGGAACCCATCACCAATGCCCCTGAGTGCCCCGAGTGATGCCTGATGTCTGTTTGCCCCCCACCCCACCGGGTGTGTGGCCCTTGGGTCCTTCCACCACCCCTGCCACACCTAACCTCGTCCTCATCCCCCCAGATGCCTGCGGCCTCTCGGACCCAGCACACGTGGAGAGCCTGCAGGAGAAGGCGCAGGTGGCCCTGACAGAGTATGTACGGGCCCAGTACCCAGCCCAGCCCCAGCGCTTCGGGCGCCTGCTGCTGCGGCTTCCAGCCCTGCGTGCTGTCCCTGCCTCACTCATCTCCCAGCTGTTCTTCATGCGCCTGGTGGGCAAGACGCCCATCGAGACGCTGATCCGCGACATGCTGCTCTCCGGGAGTACTTTCAACTGGCCTTACGGCTCCAGCCAGTGACCTCCAGGGACACCGATGCTTGGGGCTCCTGGGGGCCCCCAGGCGGAGGACCCCGGCTCCTTCTCAGACTCCTCTTTTTTTAAAGACTGTGAAATTGTCTTTTCTGTTTTTTAAATGATCATGAAACCAAAAAGGAGACGGATTGTCCGAACTCCAGCCACGTCTTCCAGTCCCCTCGCCAAGATGGATGGAGGGACGGAGGATCGAATCCCTCGACAGCCTTGGACAGCCAGTGAACTCATGGGACGGCAGGGTGGGATAGAGGCCTGGTGGCTGGACTAGGGGGCGGCCCCAGCCCGGCAAGAGTAAGCATGGGCCAGGTGGACTCTCTGGACACATGATCCACGTCTGACACTACATGAGGAATGAATCAAGGGGACACAGTAATAAACACGTTTCCTATCTGCACGGCTGCCCTGGCTGTCTTTCTATGGGGGGTGTGTGTGACAGGGAGGGTGCCCCCCCAACCCATCCTGGTACCCACTCCAGCCATGTGGCACATGCACAGTCTCAAATACCTAACCACAGCCTCCTGTGTGTGACTAGGTGGACGGTGTTATTTTTGGGCAGGTGCGGAAACAAGCTGAGGGCAGGGGGCAGGGGGCAGAGGACCTGAGGTCAGCCAGTGAGTCCATAGGTGTTGAACCCAGCGAATGGTAGTTAAATTCAAGCCCTGGACCAAACACCTTATTATTAATAATTAAATTAATTAAAGGTCGGCTCTTAGTATCTGGGCTCCAGGGTCCTTAGGAGAACCGTCTCTCCCGAACTCTCAGTCCATGTGGTCTGGGTGAGGCCCTAGGCCTGTCATCTGACCCTAGACCAGGCAATCATCCCTCTGTTCCCCTGGCCACAGTGAATGGTTCAGGGAGGATATGCTACCCAAAGCAGACCAGTGAGACTTGATGGCAAGATTTATAACCCAGAGGATATTATCAGTGAGACAGCCTACACAGGAAGACCAATTTCCTAGAATGCCTTTGGAGCCCCTGAATCAAGCCATACCTGAAGCCTTTGTACATTTAAATTCTGTGAAACCAAACTTCCCCTTTTGTGCCTGAGCCAGTTTGAGTTGGGTTTCTTCTCATATGTAACTAATAAACTGACCACTTTGGGATTGGCATCTGGAGGGTGGGCACCACTGTAAGAACAGATTCTGAAATGTGGACTTAGCCGAGTTGAGATGGGATATGGGGTGCTGCAGGGCATGAAGGACCCTGCCATCCGGGCTTCGGAAGTTTGAGCCCTGCTCTGTGGTGGGAAAGGCACCTGTGGGGGTGTATTGTCAGGGCTGTGGCTCTAAGGGGTGGGTAGAAAGGGCTTGGATTTTGGGGGGAGGGTGACACCTCTCAGGCCCTGAGGCCCTGCTAGGCAGAAAAAATGAACAAACCTCCATCAAAAATGCCCCCTCAGAACAGCGAGGGTAGAACTTAGGTCTGTCACCCTGGCAGCCCTGGTCCTCCAAAACGTTCCCCTATGTCCATCTTGGAGGTCTGGGAAGATGGGGGACAAGGCCACTTTCTATGAAATGAATGAGGGTTTTGTGCGTGTGTTCTGTCCCCTGAAGGGGACTGAGGTAGAGTGGAGTGGGAAGGACACTGGGCCCACACGAGGCTGAACTGGGCAATGCGCTGGATCAGGGTCTCCAGAGTTGTCTCTAAGGGTAAGTGGGTGCAAGTCCACTCTAGGAGGGCTGGACAACAATCGCCCATTTCTCAGATTCACAAATCGAGGACATCTGAGGACTGAGTGATACCATGAGGGTCTATCCTGCCATCTGGTCCCCAGGCCAGAGATTTGGATGTCTGTCTGTACCTGACTACTGAAGTCTTACTTCTATAAAACCCCACCCATATGGTCCCTCCTGCAGGAAGACATCTCCAGCCTCCCTGGTTGTCAAGACTGCCATCCACCCCTCCATTATTGCGCTATCATACTGGGACCAGGGCTGTCTCCCCCAGACTAGGGCTCCTCAAGGGCTGAGCCTGGGGCTGAGGCCTCTCTGTGGCTACGGTCACACTCAGTCACTGGCACTATCTTCTCTGCATGCCAGTTTGACTCCCTGATTGCTCTAGTCCCCTGTGACTTCCCTGGGAGACCAGAGAGGGCAGCTGCCAGTCCAAGGTCACAAAGTCCATCAGGGAGGCTGGCCCTGTTGCTGCCCCAAATACCTGACCCAGAGCCTGGGAGACCCTCCCCTGGGCAGGCATGTGAGTGCAGTCTATATAGCACTTTGTGTCAATCACTGTCCAGCTTAAAGGGCCCAGGGGTAAGTGAAGAATGAAGGGACCCATTTGTCTGGGGGGGTAGGGTCAGGACCTCCTGTGTCCCTGGGCTCAGTCCTCCCCCTTCAGGCGTTCTCCAGTGTTGTACCCTCAAGACTTCTCCAGCAAGACTCCCGGGGCCTCTGCCACTCTTGCCTCCATTATTGAAGGTGCAGAAACTCGTGGTCCCTGGAACTCCCCACAAGGAACTGAAGCCAGATGTTAACCCTGAAATTTTCAATCAGAGGTCATCTGAGGCTCTTGAGGGAGAGGGAGCTCTCTGGATATATGAGGGTTTGAACTCTACCCGGAAGACCCTGGGCAAGTACCTTTCTTGGAAACTCAGGTTGTTTTTTATTCCCTCTTGAAAATGGGGAGAACAATTTTTGGGTGACAACTGAAATTAGGAGTGTTAAGCAGCCACACACAGTAGGTGTTTAAAAGATGTTTATTCCATTGGGATGGCGTGCAGGACCTGCTTCTGGGAGACAGGGCTGAGTTCTGGGTCCCCATGGGTCAGGGCTGGGGGTCCCAGAGGAGGTCCTGGGAAGACATCCTGGAAGAGGGGCCATCAGAGCTGAGCCACAAAGGATGAGGCATCTGCAGTCAGCGGAAGCTATCCCAAGCAGAGGAAGAGCAGAAGAAACCGCAAGAGCAAAGCTCAGAGGCAGGAGACTGGAGGGGCTGGAGAGAAGCAACCGCAGGGCAGGCCACCCCAGCTCATCCTTCTGCCTGTCTGCCGGGATATTCAGAAGTACACGGAGCCCTCGCTGTCCCCTTGGTCGTCGAATTTCTGAATCTGGGTCTTGAGGTGCCTCAATTTGCCCTTCAGGTAGCGGTAGCGAGCCTGCTTGTCCAGAAAGCTGGGGTCCTGGGCAGGGCAAGAGCCAGGGAAGTCCTTACGGCAGTCTAGCCTACAGCTCTCATGCTATTTGAGCCTTTTCCTCTCTGAGCCTCAGTTTTCTCTCCTCAAAAATGGGCACAAGTGTCGGGGGTACAAAGGCCAAGATGGGGGACCCAAGAGTCATGACTCACCATCTGCTTCTTCTCAAATTCCCTCCAGACACGGGCAGTGACACAGGCCTCCTTCTATGAAGGGAGGAAGAAGATGGGACTCAGAGGATGTCAGACCCAGGGAGGGATGGGGAAACAGGCTCAGAGAGACAAAGTGACTGGCCTAGGGAGGACCTTGAGGGCTGACCTTGGCCCCACATGTTGTAGTACTCACCCAGCCTGGAGAAGGAAGGGGCCCCGAGATCTGGCTTGAAAAGGCTGCAGGGCAGGGGTTTCTGCCCAACACTGACCTGGCTGTGGGGCGGGGGCAGTGAGCGCAGCAGGGTCTGCAGCTGCTCTAGCTTTGCCTGCGCAGAGGCCACCTCCTGCTGCAGCTCCAAGAACTCAGAGTACTGGTCCTGGAACACAGCTGCATATCGGCTCCGCTCCCTCTTAGTGCTCACTGGTGGGTACTTACTGCCAGGGCGAGGAGGGTCAGAGTGTGAGTGTAAACATTCCTCTCCCCTTCCTTCAATTCATGTATGTAGTTTGATTCTTCTCCACTCAGTCTTCATCCCTTTGCAGGTGCTGAAATACTCTTCTTCCCTTTTGACTACTTGGTAAATTCCTATTTACCAGTCAAAGCCCTAACCCCAGTGCCCCTCAAAGGTGTGGGGGGGGGGGCGGGGGCAGAGGGGAGCACTTGCCCCCGGGTCCAAGTCTAAGGGGGCGCCAGACTAGGCGTGGAATGTAATGACATTCTGAGTCGCCACAAATATGAAAGGCGCCTGACTGAGGCAGCCAGACAAGAGGGAGTAAGGCGTTTCTGCTGACTTGTCGCTGCTATTACCGTCTATTCATCTTGAAATTGGGGGCTGGGGGCGATCGAACTGGGGGGAGGGGATGCAATTTAGAGATTGCCTCTGGTCGCCCGTTACCCTCGCTATGCCCCTGGTGCCACTTCCCGTTTCCCAGGCTTCAGGAACCACATGGAGGACACTCACAGCTCATAGTCGGGCACTGAGTAGGGCCTGGGCGTATATCCCCCAGGGATGGCTCCAATAGGCCTCTTGGTGCCCAGGAGGGCCTGTGCAGGCAGCTCATCCTCAAACACAATCTTCTTGGGCCTCACCCTGTGGGCTCGGGGTTGGGGTAGGCACAGATTGTGTGGAGAGCTGGTTTCTAGGCCTCGGGGGTCCTGTCGCTGCAGACGCTGCAGGAATCAAGGTTTGGGGTGAAGGGGAGAGGGAGGGCGTTGGGGGTTGTAGGGAAATCGAAATCTCTCAACCTGGGGGGACTGAATTCTTTGCATAGGTCCCGGCCTGGGGACTCCCTCCCCATTCAGACTCACCGGAGGCCCAGGGCCAGGTGGGCGGAGCCGGGGGTCCCCCCAGGAGCTGCGGGTCTGGAGGGTCGCCCGGGTGGGCATCGGCATCTGGGTGGCGCCGCTTGGGCGTCCCCGGGGCGGGGGCCGAGTCCTGCGGGTGGCGTCTTGGCCCGCGCGCGGCGGGGGTGGTCGGCGGGCCGCCTGCGGACACCGCGGGAGGGCGTGCATGGAGGCGGGCACAGCGGGAGGACCCTCGAGAAGCGGCCCCGGAGCCCCCACCTCTTCGCTGCGAGCACCGCCCTTGGCCCCGCCTCTATTTGTATAGACGCACATGATTGGTCTCGAGCACAAATCAGACCCCGCCCCTGAATGCGTATTCCAGAACAGCTCCATGCAAATCATCCTGACGTCATCGAGCAGCCTGAGGCGGGCTCGGGTTAACCCCTGAACTGACTGAGCCTCGCTCGCCTCAGCGCGCGGAGTCCCCGGGTCACAGCCCCCGGGAAGCCCCCCGGGACCCCCCGGTGCAGTAGCTGGCCACACGGGCCGCTCCCGCCCGGGGTTACCTGTCCCAGCGTTTGGGGCTCCGAGCCTGGGTCGGCTCCTGGAGAGAACGCCTAGCCGTTCCTGTTGTGCATTAACTGGAGTTTGCACTGGGAGGTCGGGGTCGCTCGGCAGGAGCGTGGCCTGTAAGGGGCGTGGCCTGACTGAGCGTGGGCGTAGCTCGGTAATGACTGGGCGAGGCCTGGAAGGGCTGGTGCTCCACCCCCCGCCCTTGAGGCGCAGGTTCGAGTCCAACCGCTATCGTGACCCTTTGTGTGTCGGGGTTAGTGATTTACCTTCTCTGACCCTCAGTTTATTTGTCGGAAAACGGGATGTTTTCGGCGAATTTGCGCTGATTTATTTATTCAACAATTATACTTTTTTTAGATGGTGTTATTCTTTTTTTTTAAATTGTACTTCAGATGAAGGTTTACAGAACAAATAATTTCTCATTAAACAGTTAGTACACATATTGTTTTATGACAATGGTTAACAACCCCACGACATGTCAACACTGTCCCTTCTCGACCTTGAGTTCCCTATTACCAGCTTTCCTGTCCTCTCCTTGCCTTCTAGTCCTTGTGCCTGGACTGTTGTGCCCCATTAGTCTCGTTTTGTTTTATGGGGCTGTCTAATCTTTGGCTGAAGGGTGAACCTCGGGAGTGACTTCATTACTGAGCTAAAACGGTGTCCGGGGGCCATACTCTCGGGATTTCTCCAGTCTCTGTCAGGCCAGTAAATCTAGTCTTTGTTTTTTGTGAGTTAGAATTTGGTTCTACATTTTTCTCCAGCTCTGTCCAGGACCCTCTGTTGTGATCCTGGTCAGAGCAGTCAGTAGTGGTAGCTGCGCACCATCTTGTTGTACTGGAGTCAGTCTGGTGGAGGCCGTGGTAGTTGTGGTCCATTAGTCCTTTGGACTAATCTTTTCCTTGTATCTTGTTCTCTTCATTCTCCCTTGCTCCCAAAGGGATGAGACCAGTGAAGTATCTTACATGGTTGCTCACAGGCTTTTAAGACCCCAGATGCTACTCGATGGTATTATTCTTGAAGCTGATCACTACAGAACTCTATTGTTAGGTGCCATTGAGTCGATTTCAACTCATAGAGACCCCATGCAACAGAGTAGAACTGCCCTATGGCATTTTCTAGGCTGTAATCTTTTTTTTTTTTTAATTTTTTTCCCATACAAAAATTTATACTTACATTGTTATGTGACTCTAATTGCTCTCCCCATACTGTGACAGCACACTCCTCCTTTCCACCGCTGATTCCCCGTGTCCATTCAACCAGCTCCTAACCCTCTCTGCGTTTCCATCTCACCTCTGGACA